ACTGTGGAAAAAATAAGTGCGATCAAATTTAAAGTTTATAAATAAATAAATAAAAAATTTTAATTTTAGTGATTAATTTTAATGATATTTTTACTGTTGATTTATTAATTTTGTGTTGCTAAAAGTAAATAAATTTAATTACATACTTATCAAATAATTATTATTATCAAAATTATTTTAAATTTAATCAACTTTATACATTACTAAATTATTTAACTTACAGATAAAACTTATTTATAAATCTTATTTAGTTGTCAATGTCAATTATTTTTTAGGATAAGACTTTCTTCTCTAGACCATGCATATATAAAAAGAGAATTTAATTTTAAAATAATAGTTTTTTTAATCAGTTGCTATTAATTTGTTGTTTATTTTTTTGTTGTTGTGTATATTTATTTGTTATTTATATTTATTTTCAATTTATTAAAATAAAAAATAACAATTTTTAAATAACTATTTGTGTATCAAAAAATAACTTTTTGAAAATACAATTATCTTCATTTTTAAAACACACACATGCACAGTGTTTTAAAAATATTTGTTTGTTTTTGTTCAGAACAAGTGTGATGTTTCAAATATTAATCTTTAAGGAGTTTATTCATGTTCTTCCAGCAGTGAAAAAAATTCAAGAAATGCGTCCTAAAACAGCTTATTCTGGTAAGCATTGATTTTTGTGTATTTATCTGCTCAGTTTTGAGCAGTCAATCTCATTTGAGCAGTCAATCAAATGTTTGTTTTGTATATTTTAAATTTGACTGACTACCTTTATGTTAAAATGCAAAGAATTTACTGTTTAAATGTTTGCTTTTATTTTAATTTTTTTAAATTAAAGTAAATAGCAACGATGGAATCCAACTAAAAGAAATTTATTTATTTTTTGTTTAAAAGATGTTAATAATATTTTAGATTCTGAAAGACATTATTTTTCATCAGAACAGGTAATTTTACTAGTTATGGTTTTTATAAATGCCAATAAAATCATGTTAATTTTTTTGGTAAAAAAAGGATTATATTGTTTATATAATTGCAAGAAGATTAAATATAACATTTATTTATCTGTATGATAAACAGTTATTATTTATTTATATCAGCAACAATACAATAGTTGATATTTATTTATTGGCTTTTTTTATTTTAATTATTTTTAAGTAGGTTGTTTGGGTATAAATGTTTAAAGAAGTTTGTTTTGTGATTTTAATAAAATATATTAAAAAGTTTTGATTTTTTTGTATGTTAAAAAACTTGTTTTTTAATTGTTTATTTGTAACTTTTATTTTTTATTTTATAATTATATATATTTATTTTAACAAAAATAAATCATTATCTTTGTTTTTGTTGTTATTATTATTGCTATTAATAAAAATGTTTTTAAAATATTGAATGATTAACTATTGTTTGTTTTATAAAGTTATTTTTAAAATTATTAATTTAAAGTTATGTGTATTATAATGAATTATAATATTAAATAATGCTTACAGAGTTCAAATCGCACACGTTCAGCAGAAAATTGTTCTAATTACAGTGATAGAGTAAGTGCAAGGTAAAGATTTTTGGACCAATTTTTTTTTTGACAATTTCTTTGTTCTTCATTATATTATAAATAGTCACTTAATTTGTTTGGTATGCTATTTATTAATCATTTGTCTTAGCAATGTGTTATATGTTACAGCTGTTTGTCTTATGTGCTTTATTTGATTTGAAAAAAAAAAGAATAGTGTTTAAAAAATTTATTTAAAGTGTTCATTAATATTTTGAATATGCAATATTTTTAAATATATAGTTAAAATCACATTATTAAAAATACCATAACAAATTGAAAGCATGATAAAGATAACATGACAAGTAAGCTTGAAAATGAAAAATAATAGTTTGACATTTTAAGCATGTACATAAAAATAATAACTTTACATGGTCATGAGCTTGATAATTAAACTTAAGAAGAATGACCATGAATAAGATATGACCATAAATAAGAGTTTGACTAAAAAAGTTTGACCATAGTACTGATTGATAATGAGAAAATTAGAACACAAGGGTAAGACAATCAGATTTATTGAATTTTAAAGGAATAATTTGTTTGGTATAAAGAGATTTAATGACAGTTTTGCTGTGTCAAAAAACGAATCTCTAAAGTTTGGAAGGCCAAAAAGTTCCTATTCTCGTCCTACCAAATACTGTCAACCTTTGAAGTACTCAGATGAAGATTTTTCCGATCAAATAACCAGTTCTACAAATTCATTGACAGATTGGTCACTCTTGTCACAGGGAAGATCAAAAAGCGATATTGCCACTCAAACTATAAAAAATAGAGGTAAAAATCTAATTTTACCTTTTATATTCCATCCACATAACAAAATTTTTTTTACCCTTGCACACATTTCAAATTGCACAATTTTTTTTATTATTATTATTATTATTATTTTTTTTTTAATTTTATGCAACCTTAAAATTGTTAAATATGTAATTCTTTTGAAATTATGTTATAGGAACACAAACTTCA